AAAACGATGCCTAGCCCGGACCCCTTCACGTTCGAAGCCCCATCCGTAAAAAGGGTCCATACCCCCGATGACGTACCCGATTTCAATAAGAGCTCTTTTTCGACTTCGGGTATGAGGATTGGCATGAAATCGGCCACGAAGTCTGCTAAAATTTGAGACTTGATGGCCGTACGGGGTTGATATTCGATATCGTAACCACTGAGTTTGACGGCCCATTTGGCCAATCGGCCTGATAGTTCGGGCTTGTGCAAAGTATTACGAAGCAGGTAAGTGGTTAATACGCATATAGGGTGACATTGAAAGTACGATCTTAACTTTTAGAGGCGCTTATTAGTGCAAGTGCCAATTTTTCTAGGTGCGGATATCTAGTTTCTGCTTCTCTTAAGGTCCGACTTACATAATAAACGGGAAATTGCGTACATTGCTCTTCTCGAACTAGGACACCGCTTACCACGATTTTCGATACTGCTAAGTACAAGCAAAGTTTTTTGTCTATTCTTGGTGTTTGAAGTAGTGGTGGGCTCGATAGATATCATTTTAATTCTTCCAATGCCTGTTGGCATTCCGGGGTCTAAGCAAAATCGTTCTTCTTTTTGAGTAGAGAGAAAAACTTGTGACTTCGATCTGACGATCTCGAAATGAATCGGCCTAAGGATGCAATCCATCCCGTTAGCCTCTGTACGACTTTCACGCTGTCCACGATGATGATGTATTCGATGGCCTTGATTTTATCAGGGTTAATCTCGTTCCCCCGATTTGACACCATGAAGCCGAGGAACTTGCCCGAACCGACCCCAAAAACACATTTCTTGGGGTTGAGCTTCATGTTGTATTTCCTTAAAATCTCGAACGTTTCCTGCAAATGGGTCAAATGGTCCTCTGCCCGCAGGGACTTAACTAGCATGTCATCAATATAAAATTCCATTGATTTACCTATTTGTTCTTCGAACATTTTATTTACTAGGCGTTAGTAAGTAGCTCCTGCATTTTTTAGCCCGAAGGGCATCACATTATAACAATATGTTCCATATTTGGTGATAAATGAAGTCTTTTCCTGGTCTTCTGGGTTCATCTGGATTTGATTATACCCGGAATAGGTATCGAGAAAAGTAAGGATCTCGTGGCCGGTCGTGGCATCGATCATGCGATCGATGTTGGGCAGCGGAAAGGAATATTTGGGGCATGCTTTGTTCAAATCCTTATAATCTACACACATTCTAATTTTGTTCCCCTTTTTAGGCATTACAACTACACTGGCTAACCATTCGGGATATTTCACCTCCCGAATGGACCCTATCTTGAGAAGTTTGGTTACCTCGTCCTTTATGAATGCGTGCTTCACCTTAGACTGGTGTCTTCTCTTTTGCTTCACCGGTCTGAACCTAGGGTCCAAGCTTAGCCGATGCGTTGTTATGTCCGGTGAGATCCCTATCATATCTAAATGGGACCAGGCAAAGCAATTAATGTTATTGATAAAAAATTAAACAAGTTTTTTCCTGAGTTCGGGGGTCAACCCCGTTCCCAGGTATACCTTCCGTTCGGGCCAGTGCTCGATTAGTGTGACTTGCTCCAATTCCTCAATCGTTGATTTAGTAGCGTCGGAATCATTAGGAATCACGAAGGATCGAGGGATCCTTTGATCATCATCTTCTTCGATCTTCTGATTATCTGGTCGGGTTAAAGCCGATGTCTGTGATTGCTATTTGGTATCTCATTCCCCTTTTGAGCCCGATCCCTTTACTGGCAAAGGCGAGGATATTGGATTTGCTTCCTCGACAGCAAATATTTCTCTTGCGGCCGGCTGTTCTCCGTACACTGTTTTGACTCCTCTCGATGTTGGGAATTTAAGGACCTGGTGTAGGGTCGAAGGTACAACTCTCATGTTGTGGATCCATGTCCTTCCAAAAAGGGCATTGTACCTCATGCCTCCTTCGATTAGGTGGAACTTCGTTTCTTGGATGGTCCCGGCCACGTTTGTCGGTAAAACTATCTCGCCTTTGGTGGTTTCACATGCCATATTGAATCCGTTTAGAACTAGGGTTGCAGGTATAACCTGGTCCCGTAAACCGAGCTGTTCTACTACCTTCAACCTAATGATGTTGGCCGAGCTACCTGGATCAATTAACACACGCTTAACTTTAGTTTTATTCATAAGTACGGATATTACCAGTGTATCGTTATGAGGTTGTATGACTCCTTCTGCATCTTCATCATTGAAGGACAAAGTTCCTAGGGGTGTGTAATCCTGAGTTCGAGACCGCTTTTCTCCCACAATCGATGTTTTAGTGCGTTTAAGCACTGGTCCCTGAGGGGTATCGGTGCCGCCGATGATCATGTGAATGGCATGCTGTGGTTCTTCTTGTTCGTTTTGCTTGCCGAAATCCCTATTTTTAAAATGGTTCTTCGCCCTATCGCTTAAAAATTCTCGAAGGTGACCTTTGTGGAATAACCGGGCTACCTCCTCTCTTAGTTGCCTGCAATCTTCCGTTCTGTAGCCATGGGTGCCATGATATTCGCACATTTGATTGGGATTCCTCTGGGCAGGATCGGTCTGCATGGGTCAAGGCAATTTAGTGTCTTTGATGTGTCCGATAGCCGACACGATGGCGGATGTATCGATGTTGAAGTTGTACTCCGATAACCGAGGCGCTTCCTTAGATTCGACAGGCCTTTCGAACCTACCTCTATTCATCAGCCCCCGGGATCCTTGACCTCAATCACCTTTTTTGTTATTTTATCCGGGGTTGTGTCTCGATTCACCGATTATATGGTTTTCGTTATACGGTCGGTACCAATCCCTGATCGAACCCTGTTCTCAATTAATATCCCTTCGAGCAGCAGGTTTCGACCCCAACTAATCATCTTCGACCCTAATTTTTGATTGGTACCGATTGTGCACGTCGGCCCATGTGATGGCTAGGTATTCGATCAGGTTATGCTTCAACCTTCGTGAAGCTGTCAAACTTCGTTCGTTCAAACCTTGAGTGAAAGCCTGAACAGCCCAATCGTCTGTGACTGGTGGCAGATCCATTTGTTCCATTTGAAAACGAGATACGAACTCCCTCAGCATCTCGTTATCCTTTTGTCTTACCTTGAAGAGGTCCGATTTCCTTGTTGCGACTTTTATGGCGCCGGCATGTGCTTTCACAAAAGAATCTACTAACATGGCGAATGAGTCGATGGAATTTGGTGGTAGGTTGTGATACCAAATCATTGCTCCCTTCGAGAGGGTCTCTCAGAATTTTTTTAACAACACAGATTCGATTTCATCGTCTTCTAAATCATTGCCCTTGATGGCACATGTATAAGAAGTGACGTACTCGTTGGGGTCGGTCGTTCTGTTATATTTGAGAATTTCGGACATACTAAATTTTTTGGGGATTGGTTTTGGGGCTGCACTCGAGGGAAAAGGTTTTTGCACGATTTTTTTGGAATCCAACGCTTTTATCATTGGCGGAGCTCCCAGGATCTGATCGACCCTGGAGTTATATGTTTCTACTTTTTTATCGTTGGCTTCGACTCGCTTTGTGAGCTCCTCGAGTAATTTAGCAATTTTAGGAGTAGTCCCCGATTCTTGCTCATTTGACCTCACTATGGCTGGCTCCGTTCTGTGGGCGATTTCTCGAGGTGGATTGGGCTCCGACCTGCTCTGTAGCTGGGTTTGGCTCTGCAACTGAGCTATTGCTGCCTGTTGATCTTGCAACATTTCGAAAATCATACGCAAGCTGACGCCGTTTTCCTCGACATTATGGGTATCTCGAGCTGCAGACCGAGTGCCACCATGAATGCTATTTTCGGGTTCAGAATGTAGGTTCGCCTCAATGGCCACATGCGAATTGATATCTACCGGCACTTCGATTCGAGCTCCAACAGCGTTGACAAATGGTCTTTCGGTACTGGGTGTCAAGTTATTGTTCTCATCTTGAAGACCGACTTCGTTGTCGATATGTGAGGCCATTTGATTGGTAGTTAATCGTTGCTAATCCAAAATCCAAGATATTTTCGGAAACAAGCGCAAAACACAACGGTGTTTTTTTTTGCAGATTCGTATCAAATAACCACTGTTATCCTTAGCCCCACGGTGGGCGCCAAACTATTTACCCGAAAAACGGATATAGTTGAATTTGTACGTAGTTATAAGGATATATGATATAACTTGATACAAACCATCGGGATAAATAGAAATGCCGAATATGGATTGTAAAGAATGCGAAATAAACAAGATAGGAAAGAAGATGATTTTTTAGGACTCAGCACAATGGATCAATTAATGAAGCTTAAAAGGATAATTCTTGAATATGGAGGAATATGGTGCTTGAATTACAATATAAGTAAAAAACTTGGTCCTTATAGAAATAATAACCATAAAAGGGATCTTACTTTAGATATAATTAAAAATACATAGTGGGAGACCCATAATGAATCAGCTTTTCCATAATTCCTGCCAAGATTCTCTCCTCTAGTGGGATTGCAACGGCTCTTGTCTATGAGCTCGATATTGACTCGAGTTTTCGGTCTTGACTCGAGCTCTCGATCTTGACTTGAGCCCGATTCTGACTTGGATCCTTGAATTGATTCGGGATCAACGTTGGTCGGTTTCTGAATCATAAGTTTGATAACTTTACTTTGCATCATAGTTCGACTTGGATTCGAGCTTGATAACGATATCGAGCTCGACATTGATCGGTCCCTCGGGCTCGAAGCTTGTTCGTACCATCTTCGGAACCCATCTCGAAGTTTTACTTCGATCCATTATGTTTTGACCTCGATCAATCGTACGAAGGTCAAAATCTATTTCGACCGTATACAATAGTGAGTATTACTCCTTTATAAATTATGGACATACACCATTAGATAATTATTTATAACATGTAGTAATTTTCTTTTATCGTTAACTAAATAATATTATCTTAGTTCATCATAAAAAATAATTCTTAACGTAGTTTATATACGTTAAATTATAATGACCACAAGCATGTACAATGCTTTAGCTACCTACTCCCACACTTGCTGCACTGTACTCGGTCCTCTCAAATTTAATTAAATCAAATGGGTAACAACCTTTTGATTTCATTTCTTCTTGTTGTCTTCGAGATTGCTGCTCCTGCTGCTGAAGGAAGTCAACACTTTGACTCTCAGCAGACTCTCCCGTCGAGCTGTCCAGCTCCTGACCCTACCCTCAATCACCGGCCGGCTATCGGAATTGTTTGTCATCCCGGCGATGGCGCCTCCGGCCGCCTTAGCAACGCTACTAATATTTCCTACATTGCTGCTTCCTATGTTAAGTTTGCTGAAATGGCTGGTGCTAGAGTCATTCCTCTCATATACACAGCGCCTCCTGAAATTCTCAATCAAGTAAGTATCAATTACTATTCCTTTTTCATATCTCTCGTCTCGTGAATCGTTGAAATTTTAAAAGCAGTAGATGTTATCTTCGATCGGATCGCGCCTATCAATTGCAGTTTGAGATTTGCTAATTCAATTTCTCTTTGCAGAAACTTAATCTTGTTAATGGCATTATCTTCACTGGTGGGTGGGCCAAGGACGGTCTCTATTTTGATGTTATTAAAGGAATTTTCCAGGTGATTATCTACTCTGCTTGTACCTACCTAGACTCATGCTATCATGCTCCTATTGCTGCAATATTTATTAAGTGGAAATACTCTGCATTTGGACTGGAATCTGTGACCAAAAAGTTTGACATAATGAAATTTCCTAGTCTTTTAATTCGAATACAGGATAGTAGCAAAGATGTTCTTTTATTGAAAATCATTATAATGATTTTAAATGCTTCATTGATACTCGCAGAAAGCTTTGGCGAAGAATGATGCTGGCGAGCATTTTCCTATACTTGCAATCTGCTTGGGATATGAACTTTTAACAATGATCATCACCAAGGTAAAGTGTATGGGAGAACATAGATGTTTCATTTAGCTTTATTGAGAATGCACACTTAGAAAAGTCGGTACTATTTAAAATAACATATTGTAATTAGTTGCATAGACACTTGAGGCAATACTATCAAACAAGCAAACTGTAATAAAAGATTTCTGTGGGAAGTCTGAAAGAGTTCCATTATAATTTTGTATGCATAAAATGTAGAGCTTGTAATATTATATTCAGTTCTCAGAATATCCTGATAGTCAATTGCTCATGAATGTGTGCTTAGCATACTCATTGTCTAAGTGCATGTATGCGAGCACATTCCATGTATGACATTGTATAGCATCTGATTAAAGATTATACAGGTATACATGCAGTAAAAGTTAGAAACTCTTTGGAATAAGAGGCAATAAAGAATATGAGTTGTATATTGCTGCCAGTTAGAATTTTCCCTATCTTTTTCTGGTGCTTCCAGTTGTAGATTTTTTTTTTCTTTCATATATACCTAATTTCGCATTCTGAGTTGTACCTTAGTATACTTTGATGTCTGCATATTACTCATACATGTGTGAATTATATCTAAAATATTGCGAAATATTTGATATGTCAAGGTAGGTTTTTTCCAGAAAACCAACTACAAACCAAACATAATATGTCAGGGACACAATCCTGCCTCTTAGACAGTATAGGGAAACAACTTGCACACCTCTATGTGACCCAAACTTTCTCCTATACGATTATCAAATTTTTACATTTTTAAGACTTGAGTTCAGTTGTTTCCATGGGTTGATTTCAAGACATTTCTTTGTCTAATAATAGGACAACAATATCCTCGAGGAATTCAGTGCAGCGAGTCAAGCATCTACAGTACAGTTTGTGGAAAATGTGAATATTGAAGGAACAGTATTTGGAAGGTATATGTTTGTTTGCCTCCTTTATGACTTCATCTTCTTTTTCTTCCCTCTCTTCCAATTTTCTCTTTTCTGCTTTGCTTCTCCATTTTCATTTCAGCTGGGAAAAATGACAGATTACCCTATTCGAAGGGCTTTAAAAGATAAATATAACAGATAGTTGAGTCATAATGGTAAATTCAAGCTTTTCATTGATAGAAAAATAGTAAAGAGGCTTGCCTGATCGGCTTTGAATGTAAGGCTCCCATTGCATTCAAACTCTGTCATAATAGGTAATTTTCGCATGAAAGGAGAGCTTAATATTATTTGGAAAGAACAAAACCTGGCATTTAATGTGATCTGTAAGAACTGTTACTTAAATCTCTTGGCCTTGCTATGTGTAAATTGTTCATCTCGAAGAAGAACGGCAAACGGTGGTTGAAGGACTGATTAAAAAGAGGAAACAAAGGAACTGGTGGTGGTGATGAGCAGAATTGTGCTTATGATGATGGCATATTGGAGGAAGGATTGTCTACTATTCTCTTCCTGCATTTTAAAAGCCTGTTGACCTTATAGCATGCTCAACTCTATATTGAATGAGCACTTATGACCCACATTTGCATATCAAAGAGAATGTATACTCTCATTCATGTAAACTCTTCATTGTACTTTCTTGAGAGCTATGTGAAAGTACAGTGGTTGTGCTTGTGAAGGGGTCAGGTTTCAGTAATAATTCTTATTTTGCTGATATACAACTGGCTATTAACTTTCCTGCAGATTCCCCCATGTTGCTAAAGAAGATGAGTATAGATTGCCTTGTGATGCAAAATCATCATGTGAGTTTTACAAATTAGGTTTTTTCTTGTCCTTGTGTGACACTGCTGTATTTTAGCTTACTTGTGATTTTACAAGATTTACTACATGTTTTATTTTGTCTAGTGAAGATTGTAATTGCTCAATAGTATTACTCTTGAATTATGTCCTAAATCTTTTAGCATATTACATCTAGTAAGGTTTGTATATCAGTTTTGGGTTTTAGAAATGTTAAGATTCTTATGCTGATTTTCATCCAACATTAATTCAGGCGTTTGATCTTCGAGTTACCTGCTATGGGGTTACTTCCATATCTCTTACATTACTTGTTAGTTTCATTCACGCTGCTGTATCTGCAGTTCTATTGCAGCTTGTCTTAGCAAGGAATTCATGTTCCTCCATAAACATTTGCATAACTCATAGACTGTCACCTAGAGATCAGTGATTGTCGCGTCAACTTCGTTTGAAGATTTAACGCAGGAGAGACAAACTTCTTGTCACGACCCAAAAACACACATGCCGTGATGGCGCCTATTGCGATACTAGGCAAGCCGACAACTCACAAATACAGGCGTCTTTAATTTAAAACATGCTGAAATANCTAGAGATCAGTGATTGTCGCATCAACGTTTGTTTGAAGATTTAATGCAGGAGAGACAAACTTCTTTCGGTGAATGAGTCACGCTAATCTTAGAATACAAGCAGGCTAGATATTCCTCTTGTCTTTGAGTTCTCATATTATCTGTTTTTGCTTCAGGCCTTATTGGGCGCTTTAGGTATGCAGTGATACGGCTGATTAATTGTGTGTTTCCTTATTAATGCTGCAGTTTGGTATATCACCAGAAAGATTTCTAGCGAATAAAGACTTGAGTGGCTTTTTCAGGGTCTTGACAACTAGTACGGATGAAAACAACAAGGTACATGTTGAATTCTACCACTTTTCTCTGCTGGGATATTTCTGGTGAATGTTTGCAATTGATAAGATATCTAGTAGATATTCTTTTTGAACTGATTTGTTTTGATTAATTAATTATCTGATTCAGGTCTATGTCTCTACTATTCAAGCTAAACGTTATCCTATAGCTGGTTTTCAATGGCACCCAGAGGTACCATCTTTGGCGTCTAACTTCAGATTTACAATTAATATGTGAAATATGCAGTAACTTAATAGTTGTTAGATATAACAACGTGAGATAGCATAGTGTAATGTTTTCCTAGCTATTTTCATTCTTTGAGTGGCTTTGGTGTTCTTAAATTACGTTACAGATTACGTTTTAGTGGGTAGTGCACAAAGGTTATTGGTAGGTTCATGAAAAAGGTTCTGACAGATGAGCAAGTCATGATTGCTGCACTCTGGGTATCTGATAAAAAGAAATATTTCTTCTGCTCTCTCATGATTTATTCTAAAGGAACAATTATCATGTGAATGTTTTACGTTTGCCAATATCCCATTTATCATCGATGACTCCAAGGCTATATTGTGAGTCGGGGCCAAGGCTTCGACATGCTCTCTCCATTGAAATAAATCCTTCTTCTTGAAAGGGGATCATCTAATCTACCTCTTGCGGGCGCTTTCAAGCAGTTCAAAAGAAAGACCTTTTATACACACTCATCTTATTTTCATGTTTTCATTGGAGTAAAGATATTAATTATAGGCTTATGTTAAAACGAGCAGAGTTAATACACCATTTTAATGTCCTTTGAAATTTTCCTTGGAGATAGTAGCTCATCTTAATGCAAAAACGCGACCTTTTATCTTGACACAATTCTTTTACCTGAAATTCCAAATTTAAATGCTTTTAGCTGGTTATGTTACTGCAGAAAAATGTTTTCGAATGGGGCTCATCAAGGATTCCACATTCTGAGGATGCAGTTCAAGTTACTACACATGTTGCCAACTATTTTATTAGGTATAGACCCTTCTTACCTTTCCTGTCTGCCGAGGATGATCCGGAGGTGTGGGATGGGGTGGGGAATCTTGGGGATTGGTTCAGATCCAGGCATACTGTCAGGGACGGGAAATGCTTTCTGGTTATCAATTATCTGATAATCCTAATTTCTAAGATGAGATATTGAAGAGAACCAATGCTTTCCTAATATGTAGTTATAGGTTGAGTGCATCCACTATGGCACTGGATTCATTTGTATTGCTCATAAGTTGGCAAAGACAGATTTTAAGGCTACCGGTTGTCTTGGATATAAACATACAGATGTGCACAAGTAGTATGAACTAATTGAGGGGCATGCTTTTCACAAATTCTTCTTACTCTTCAACTGCAACTGTTTAACTTTTGCATATTGTGATTAAGAGTATGATAGGCATAAGCACTTTCATCCTCTTATCATCCTACTTCATATCTGCACCTAGCCAAATATACCTATCTTTTCCTAATTATTTCTTGCCCTGTCCGGAGCCGGAATTGAGTCAAGTTATACATGCGCCTCTATTAACCCATCCCCCTTTTTTTAAAATTTTATTTTGCTGTTGTGCTTCTAGGTTTGTAAGTTTTATTTGTATATTTTAAATTGCAGTGAAGCTAGAAAGTCTTCTAACAAGCCAGTAGCTCGCGAAGTGCTTGATAATCTCATCTACAATTACAGTCCCATTTATGGTGGGAAGGCAGGGTAAGTCAGGCAGCAATTTCAGGTTGGTTGAAAATTAACACATTGATTTCAGGAACTTGATTCTCTTTTGTCTTGTTCTGTAGGAAGGGTTTTGATGAGGTTTATCTCTTCACTCCGCATTCTGCCTTGAGCTATCTATAGAGGAAAAAGAGCAAAAGCAGTGTAATTGAGCACCAACAACTGTGCAATCTAAGATGCACGTGAAGACTTGGAGTTGCGGGCAGTATGTGATGTTCACTGCTGGAATTGCTTTTCAATCTCCAGTTAACTGTTCTCACCACCAAATTGGGAATGTTAAAACTAGTTGTATGGTGATTTTTTAGTCTTCTGCTGTCCACCCTTCTATGAAATAAAACATTGATTTGAGTTATTCTGTGAGCCTTCATATCTCAAATAACCATGTGCTGGCTACAGCCTACTAGTTCTTGGTAGTATTGTCTGGAGGGATGTAAAATATTGTGTTTAATTTGCTATAAATTTAAAGCAGCATTGTCTTAAGTTGTGACTGAATCGTTTATAGTACTAACTAGAAATTTGTTTATGTAGTTTGACACCCCAAATTTTTTCAATAGCATTTAACATATCGTTGTTGATGGTTGACTATTGGCAGAACTGTCACGACCCAAAATCCAACTAGTCGTGATGGCACCTAACCCAACACGTTAAGCTAATTAACAACTAACCAATCTAATGATATTTATAAAGAGAAGAAATGATAATACAACTGCTTTTATACAAGTCAATGTGTATGTGAAGTCATGAATGACGCAATGTCGTACAACATGAGGAAAATGCATCTCTATGCATGTATGTCAAGTGTGCATGTCGAATGCAATGCAATTCAGTGATAAAACCATATGCATACTCTCAGAGTATCAATTCACTCGGTCCTCCCAGTCACTCAGTCCTCCCAATCACTCGGCACTCGTACTCAATAGGTACCTGCGCTCACTAGGGGTGTACAGACTCCGGAGGGGCTCCTTCAGCCCAAGCGCTATAACAAGCCAATCATGGCATAAATCAATAAAACATGCTGCGGCGTGCAGCCCGTTCTCATCAATATCCTCACCATCAGGCTCTCGACCTCACTCAGTCATCAATCTCTCTAGTCTCTCGGGCTCACAATGTCATGAAAATCATCCCAAAATGATGATGTGATGTATCAATAAATGGTAACAGAGACTGAGATATGATATGCAAATGAATGCGCATGACTGAGTATGTAATTGCAATGTAAGCAAATAACTCAACAACAAAAATGATCTCAGTGGGTCCCAACATGATAAACATATAGCCTAGACATGGTTTCTAACATGGATCACAGCTCAATTACTCCAGCACATAGAGATTTCATAGATACAAATAAGATTAGGTAACTACACAGTACCACAGATATAACTGAGTCACAATTCACACGGTGCACGCCCACACGCCCACACGCCCGTCAACTAGCATGTGCGTCACCTCAATACCAAACACATAACACGTATAATCAGGGTTCTGTGATGACCCAAAATGTCATCTTTAAATTTAATAAGTAATTCTGTATTCTAAGACCTCGAAAAATACCATTTATCATTCCTCAACTTGCGTGCGTTGTCCGTACAATTTTCCGAAAAGTTTTTATAAGAAAAATGGATTAAAAGGTGAAATAGAGCTTTAAGACTCAACTGAGTGGACTTTGGTCAATATTTTGAGCAAACAGACCCGGATCAGTATTTTGACAATTTCGGTAGGTCCGTATCGTGATTTGGGACTTGGGCGTATGCCCGGAATCGAATTCCGAGGTCCCTAGCCCGAGATATGGAATTTTGATGAAAAATTAAAAGCTTGAAAGCTTAATAATTTCTAAGAAATTACTGATGTTGGATTTATTGACCTCGGGTCCGTATTTTAGTTCCGGAGCCCTCTATAGATCCACTATAATATTTATGACTTGTCTGCCGAATTTGGAGAGAAACGGAGTTGATTTGACGTGATTCGGACGTACGGTTGTAAAAATATAAGTTTTAAATTTTTTTTGAAAATTTCCTTTGAATTGGTGTCTGATTCGTAGTTCTTGGTATTATTTTGGCGATTTGATCGCGCGAGCAAGTTCGTATGATGTTTTAGGACTTGGGTGCATGTTTGGTTTGGAGCCCCGAGGGCTCGGGTTGGTTTCGGGTGGTTAACGGATCATTTTTGAACTTGAGGAAACTGCAAAAACCTGCTTCTGGTTTCCTTCTTCGCGTTCGCGAGGGGAGTCTCGCATTCGCGAAGAGCAAATTGGGGCTGGCACATTTTGTGCTTCGCGTTCACGACAGAGAGAACACGTTCACGAAGGCTTGAGGTGCGAAGCTTCGCGTTCACGATCGAAGCCTCGCGTTCGCGAAGGGAAAGGGGCTGGCCAGGACAGTCATTCGGGAAGGCCAAGCCAGGCAAGCTTCGCGTTCGCAAAGTAGCTCTCGCATTCGCGAAGAGTAAAATTGGGCAGTAGGAATTTGTGCTTCGCGAACGCGAGGCACTGACCGCGTTCGCGAAGGGTAAAAATCCAAGAAACAGAACTTATGTTCTGGAAATGGGGTTCCGATCCATTTTCAACTCTTTTCCATTTTTGAGCTCGGGTAAGGCGATTTTTGGGCGATTTTCACGGTAAAACATTGGGGTAAGTGTTCCTTATCCTATATTGATTATATTTCATGATTTCGTACTCATTTATATCATGAATCCGTGAATTTTTGGAAGAAAAATCAGATTTTTATAAAATCTTCCAAATACGAAAATTTAAGATTTGAAGGTCCCTTTGACATCAGAATTGGATAATTTTGGTATGGTTGGACTCGTCTGGAATGGGTGTTCGGATTTCGTAAATTTTTCCGGGATTTGAGACGTGGGTCCCACTGCCGAATATTTTAATGAATTTCAAATTTTATTCAGAAAATTAGTAAATTTATATGGAATTAATTTCTATGATTCGTATTGAGTATATTGAATTATTTGTGAATAGATTTGAAGCTTTCGGAGACAAATTTAAAAGGAAAAGTTGTGGTTGAGTAATTGATTGGAATTTGCAATGAGAGGTAAGTGTTGTGGTTAACCTTGACTTTAGGGAATAAAACCCTCAAATTATTTGTTATGTGAATTGCATGTGAACGACGTATAGGCGAGGTGACGAGTGTCTATACGTCGTCAAATTAATTGTTTGCCTTCTTACTTGAAAAATCATAAATTATTTTAAATCATGAATTAATTATTATAATAATTATTTCTCTCCTATTCTTTGTCAAATATTAATTCTTAAATTCCTGCATTAATTGTTACATGCTATTTGAATTATGTGCCTTAATTGTTATTTGACATTTAGCATATTAGATATTAAACTGCATATTTTCTCTCCGATTTTCATCATAATTTGCTATTTGCCTTTGTTTGTTTCATAATTAAATCATAATTATTGTATGCTTGTTGTCTTATAATTTTATATTAATTGTTACATTTATTGGGAAAATTTCTTCTATAAGAACTGAATGTGAATATATTGTGAGAGCGGGTTGCACGCTGCAACAAAATTGAATGTGAATATATTGTGAGAGCGGGTTTCACGCTGCAACAGAATTGATGGAAATGATAATTGGTTATGACTGCTGAGTTGACTTCAATTATTATAAATGAGTTACCTGATTTATTTCTATTATTGTTGTTGTTACTAATATTGCGTACAGGTAATGTAAGTGACCCGCCTTAGTCTCGTCACTACTTCATCGAGGTTAGGCTCAGCACTTACCGGTACATGGGATCGGTTGTACTGATACTACACTTTGCACTTCTTGTGCAGATTTCAGAGTTGGTCCTAGTGACGTGCCATAGACTTGCTCGAATTTCAGCTACTCGGAGGAAACTTGAGGTATAACTGCATGGCATCCGCAGTTATGAAGTCCCCGTCTATTTTACTTTAGCTGTGTGTTTATTTCCAGACAGCTTTATTATATTCAGACCTTTGTTTGTATTATTCTAGAAGCTCGTGCACTTGTGACACCAATTCTGGGATGGTATTTAGACACCATTGTTTTTATGGATTATTCACTATATTTCAGACTTTACTTCCGCGTTTGTTCTTTGATTATTAATAAATTTAAAAATTATTTTCAAAATAGATAATATTATTCTAACGTTGGCTTACCTAGCAAGTGAAATGTTAGGCGCCATCACGGTCCGAAGGCGGAAATTTTGGGTCGTGACAGTTGGTATCAGAGCACTAGGTTACATAGGTCTCACGAGTCACGAGCAAGCTTAGCAGAGTCTGAAGGATCGGTACGGAGACGTCTGTACTTATCTCTCAGAGGTTATGGAGTTTAGGAACAATTTCACTTCTATTTTACTCGGGCGTGCGATTTTATTCTATTATTGATGATTGAACTCTTCTATTCTTGTCCTCTCGCAAATGGCGACAACACGCACTGCGTCTACAACCGGACAGGAGCCAGATCCCCCGGTGACAGCTACGACTAGGGGCAAAGGTCGAGGCTGAGGTCATGCTAGAGGCCGAGGTAGAGCTCAGTCCAGAGCTCGAGCAACTGCACCTATTGTAGATTCTCAGGTGGATCTTCAGGAGGAGGTTCCAGTACAGAATGTACTAGTTGGTCCTATTCAGGTCCCGATACTTCAGGAAGCTCTAGTCCGTTTGGTAAGTCTTAGGGAGGGCGTGGCCCAGAATGGTACATTTCCAGTGGCACCAGCCGTCTCACAGGCTGGGGGAGGAGCACAAACTCCCACTACTCCCGCTCCGGAGCAGATGGCTCCCCAGAATCAGGCTTCAGCAGCCCCGCCAGTTGGGGTAGTTCAGCCAGTTATTGCGGAACAGATCGGTGATAGGCCCGCCATGTCTTTTGAGGCGTTATTGAGACTGGATAAGTTTACCAAGCTCTTTCCAGTTCACTTCAGTGGTACAACTTCTGAGGACCCACAGGATTATCTTGAACACTGCCATGAAGTGCTGCGGAACATAGGTATAGTTGAGACCAATGGGGTTGATTTTGCTGTATTTCAGATGACGGGTTCTGCTAAGAGATAGTGGAGAGATTATACATTGACCAGACCAGTTGGCTCGCCTGCACTTACCTGGGAGCAGTTCTCTCAGCTATTTCTGGAGAAGTTCCTCCCTATCACAATGAGAGAGGAATTCTACAAGCAATTTGAGCATCTACAGCAGAGCAGTATGATTGTTACTCAGTATGAGTCCCGTTTTGTGGATTTAGCCCGTCATGCTCTCCTTTTACTACCTACGGAGGGAGATAGCGTGAGGAGGTTTATTGAGGGACTCACTCACCCTATCAGACTTCAGATGGCCAAGGAGACCGAAAATGAGATTTCTTTTCAGGCAGCTGCTAATATCGCAAGGAGGATCGATATGGTTCTTGCACAGGAGAGAGGGCAGAGGTCCAATAAGAGGCCTCGTTAGTTCGGTGGTTTCAGTGGTGCCTCGTCTGGAGGCAGGGGTAATTTTGGTAGGGGTCATCCTC